GTTGGGTGATCCTGAAGCACTGTGCTGAGACATCTCGCGGACAAGCTAGTTCGTGATATTGTCTATGTAGGTCACTGCGGTGCCCCCCTTTCTTCACCGCTGGAGTTGAAATGGATGGACATTTTGTCGCTAACGCACGTCCCCGTATCTGTGTCAGTGATGCCAAATGTTTGATGTGTGAGAGATGCTCACGCCATGAACACCGCTTCGGCTCGCGCACAACACGCCTCGCTTATGCTCGAGCTTAGTGATCGATTCCGTGCGGACATGCATCAACCTCCCACGAAAAATGCACATTCCCTATACCTGCGCTGAGCATCTCCAAGTTATCCAGCTTATGAAAATAATTTAATTTGATTAGCATGCTTTCTTTTTCAGCTCAAAACACCCGACTTTTCTTGAAGGAGGCAGCATGGCCAGCGACACATTTACAACACTTCAGGGGCTCAGCGACGCAGTCCCGAGACTGGTGCTCTGAAGAAGCTCGTCTGGAGCACCGGGAGAGTCTCTTTGACACCTGGCTGTGGCGTGGCCAAATTTTAGCAGTGAATACAGCCAACTGGGTCTCGAACGTATTGCCCGACCGGAATGGAGTGATATTCCACCTTGGCTTTTGACGGCCTGGCCGGCACGTTGAAGGTGAGAACTGTGACGTCTGTGTCCCTAAGCTTTCCGTTCTCCCTTCTCCGAATCCGCCTCGCAGCAGTCACGCAATGTCTCTCCACCCCTTCAGTAATTTCTTCCCCCGACACTCCTCGAAGATCCCAGCAGGTCGTGGCTCCTTTTGACCCATTTTCAGTGGGTGATGTTGTACAGCGACGGCAATGTTGCCAGTACCTTGGCCTCTAATACGGTAAGTAAAATCATAGTAGATCACTAGTAGCAGCCTCGCTTCGTTGCCGTCTCCGTAGTGTACCTCGATGGAGCGATCTGGACAGCTGCGTACCTCCGTCGGAATGCCAAACTTGGACAACGCATGCTCACTCTGTAAGGGATTCAAGTTCAGCGACAGTGATTCTCCATCGAAATCGAGTTCAGCCCCCTGAGCAATCAGGTATTCCGGCAGTGGTGAGCTGCGTTGAGCTCGAACCTGCTCGGAGGTCCGAGGCCCCGAAGATGTTTCGGGGTCATCAGCAGTGGCAACCCGGTTTCCAGCGTGGACAGTGCCAGCCTGGCTGGAGGGGTCGATGCAGGTGTGTTTGTTTGAAAGAAAGAGAATCCATGCAATTTGTCTGAAGTATTCGGCACGCCCCCCCCCCCCCCCCCACATACACACACCTCGGAGCCCAACTGGGGAAAGGCCCAACACCCCCTCGGGAGATGGTCACCGCCAGGGCTACCCCGGTGCTATACGAGGCAAACAACACTTTCCCGCGGCCAGGTGTAACCGGAGAGACTCCTCCCTGTCCTGACCGTGGTTCAGCGCCGCCGCCCTTTGACCGCTTAAGCCACTGCGCGCGGCCAGGCGCCCCAAGCGACGACCTGCACAGAGCACCCAGCCGCAGCGCGAGCGACAAGCCGCTATTGCCGTGTGGGGTCCCACGGGGCCCCACGCCTCTGGATATTCTGGCCAAAGTTGAGTGTTGGGGCGCGCCTTGACCGACTTGCATGACGCGCCCCTTAGTCACCGAGATCCGATCAACACGGGACGTGAGCGAGGAGACGCGGCGATCCCATAAAACGAGGATGAGGAGCGGCGAGAGGGCCGGATGCGGAAATGCGGTTGGTGGTAGGAAGGGAGCGAGAGAGGCAAGGAGCAGGACCTCACGTACCGGCAGGGTCGCTAGGCCCAGAAATGAACAGTTTGCACGCTTAATTCTCCCCAGATATACAGTGGAAAACTCGCCAAACTGTTCTCAGTGAACATTGTGAGATGGAAATGGCCCTGTCTACAACCATCTACAGCACCCCGTGGCCCGCTATCCACGGCTGAGAAAGGGATGCTGCAGGCTGCTACGACGGAACCTTGTCGTCACCACTGCATAATGCTTCCTTTCCATGCGTTCTGTAGTCCGACCCTGCTCACCAAAACACGTAAACTACCTACCTACAGCCCTGCACGTCCGCGAACGCAGCACTCGTCGAACCAAACTCCAAACAAGACCATCCCCTAACGGACCATACAGCCGGGGAGGACAGAGCGAACAGAGAATATTCCGTACGCGCACTGCCACACTCCTAGCACTAGAATGTATATGACAACATCGAGCATTTAGATGCTGATTTATACGGTTGAATAAAACATTACTTAATTTTTTTAAATTTTATGTTTTCTATGTATTTTTTATTTATTTGTATTTCTTTATGTATTAAATAAAATATATTGAATATTTTCTAACTATGCATTACCAAATGTTGTACACCCCAACACCCAGTCAGCCTTTCATCGATCAAATAGAGACGTTAAAGGCTGTCTTGGATACTCGCTTGGGCACGCTGAATTAAGCTGGCCGACGTCTCCGGCTCTTGGAGAGGATTTTCCAGTGGAGAGAAGGCATATTTTTCCACCAAGAAAGATGGGCTGAATACGAGACGAATGCGCACAAAAGTGCTGAGGAATAGAAGCTTGGATTTTCCCGGCTATCTGCGGAGCGTCGCGACCGACATATTCCGCGAGCGTTAAGTCCCGGAAGTGTTTCTTATTCTCATCTGGGTAAGCCTTTTGATTGCAATTGAAACATTTGAGTAATATTTTTGAAATATAGTCATTGGAGCCAGGCCCAGCCCATGAATAATTTCTAGAAAGTCATTAAGAACCTAGGAAAGGAAAATAGAAATCAATCAATTGTAACTAACAGCGGCCCTGTCGTTGAAGACTGCTTCTCTTTATGTACCATTTCAGTAACATGCTTAGTTTCTGTCGTTTATCTTGAAGAGCTGTGATGGAGCCGTGTTTAGCAATGGAAGTGGGGTGGGCTAAGACTATAGATGAAGAATTTATATAATTTCAGCTCAGCGTCACACCGTGAGGATAGTACTGAATCAGACTCATCAGCTGTGAGTAGGTTCTGCAGTTGCCGTATTGCCGTATGTGCAGGGAGGTTTGCTTTACACGGAGGAAATAACCTCCGCCGCTATTTCAATGGTGTAGTTTGTAAATAAGCTTGGCGGGCGGCGAGCGAACAGTGAAAGTCAGTGAAATGAACCAAAAAGTACAAACAGCATGTTCTGCATTAATTTGATCAATTCATTCCCCAAATTTGGGGGGAACTATGGTCCCATCAAACTGAATAGAAAGCTACAGGCAAGGCCCAAAACGAAATGTACCTAGATCCAGTACAAGCCTAGGAGGTGTCATTTGCCCCTGGCAACTGTCCCCTAGATGAAAGACTGCTGCCTTGGCTGGCAAGTAACAGCACTAATCACTATGTGCCAGATACTCTTATATATATGCATATATATATATATATATATATATATATATATATATATATATATATATATATGATAGTAACCATAATAACGTCTCAATCATAACGCCGCATAAGCTTCATAACATTTCGGTCATAAAATCATGATGCGCCCTGGGGAATTATGGGACAGGTGCAAAACATTTTAAGCATTGGTTTTTATCAACGTTAATTGTGACCCACACCTAACCTCAGAAAAAAATTGTTAGTATAAAGCAACTTTCTATCCGATTGTCACCTTCAAAAAGTGCAGTGTGTGTGTGTGTGTGTGTGTGTGTGTGTGTGTGTGTGTGTGTGTGTGTGTGTGTGTGTGTGTGTGTGTGTGTGTGTGTGTGTGTGTGTGTGTGTGTGTGTGTGTGTGTGTGTGTGTGTGTGTGTGTGTGTGTGTGTGTGTGTGTTTGACCTACGCAGAAATGGCAGAACACAACTTTCATCACGTTTAAAAAAACTTTGGAATTACAAACTACTGACCTATAACTGCCTTTGGAAATTACTGAGACCAGCTGGTGCGTGGTATTTACCGTTGCTGTTAAAAAATGTTCTACAGTATCAGTTGTGCAGCCAGTGTAAATTCACTTGGGCCATTTTTTTCCGGCGCAATATTAAAGTTTTTGGTCTCACTTCCCACGAGACAAACCAAATTTCTGACAATGCCCGTGGGCTTGCCCAACAAATTAAGCCCTTAGATTGTATCGCCAAAAAATGCCAGTCATAACTCGGTAGTTACTTAGCGGCTCTCAAAAAAGATAAATTTTAGATAAAAATAGATGCACTTGTTAGCTTTCTTCGCCGGCACTGTCGTAGCCTACTGAGCAGATCTGATCAGCACGTTTAGACTTGATAAATAAATACAGGTGATTTGCACACTTCTCGAAAGTTGTTCAGTGCATTAGCGAGAAACATTATTCGCATGGACTAGACAGTAGTATTAGTCTTATTTCTCGGAAACAAACAGGAGAATGGAGATATAGTCAGTTGATATTTCGGCAACTTGCCTTCATCGAAACAATAGCTGAAGTCATCTAACTATATCTCCATTCCTGTCAACCTAACTACATCTCTATTCTCCTGGCTTTCCGAGAAATAAGGTTAATTCTACTGTCTAATCTGCGCACACTTTTCGCATTACGCAAGCCAGTGGAATACAATAATTCCACCGCCAACGTAGATTCCAATTCAGCCTCCCCAGTCCATGTCGTCGTGCACGACTGGGCGTGAAGACTGATTTGACTGGACGTGCAGCGACATTGGCAGCAGCGCATGACTGGGCTTGCAGCGCACACTCAGTCATGCACGCACGCCACCGGCGCACCCCTTCGGATCTCCACGACACACACACACACACACACACACACACACACACACACACACACACACACACACACACACACACACACACACACACACACACACACACACTACCGACGCGCCTCGTCAGAGCACCGCAGGGTCCATACACCACGGGCGTGCTCCTTCGGATAGTCGCGGGCACGCACGCACCACCGACGCGCCCCGTCGGAGCGCCGCGGGGCGCCGGTCGGCGTCGGCCGTCGTCGGCGTGCGCCCTCAGTGACGCGTCCGACGCTCGAGGGAGCCGAAGTGTGGGAGCGCGCCGCCCGACGCCGCCCACCGCCGACACCAAGTGAGCCTCTGCCAAAACGGAGATGTCGGGCTTGGGGGGGGGGGGGGGGGGGGGCGGTGCGCGTTGGGATGGCCGTGACTGTAGATCGTAGTCCAGGGTCTTGACATGCCGCAGCACGGCGGCTGGATAATGTAAGGGTAGCTGTGCGATGTGTTGAGAAGCCCTGGAGGAATGGTACACGACATAACAATGTATGTGCGATGACAAGTATGAAATATGACGCTTGCCCCTCGAACTGCAACGAATGCAAAGTAAAATTCCGCCCCAGACTCGCAACAAGTCCAGAATTAGTCCAAAATCTGGTCTTGCCCTAGAAGTGTTCCTCGGCGAAATTTGTTCGTGTAGTTTGGTGCTGGGCTTCACGTATGTTGGCCGACATGCATGGAAACGTGATCTACGGTGAAAACTATCTGTCAACCCCAAGCATGATAAAAACTGTTTCTGATGTGATACTGAAACATCAAAAAACTGTTTCGGATATCTCTGATGATAAATTATGCACGGTAAATGACACATTTACTGCAGTTATCGCTCGTGTTAAGAAGACATGCTAAAATTTCTGTTTCAATAGGACCAGGGCTTCAAACACTGCATGATCAGTGTTTTATGCTAATTGGACCTATTCTAATGCGCTGTAAATGCAATGGAGAAATCATCTCAAGATCGTTCCTCATAAGACACAAGACTACAATTTATAACACATTTTTGAAACGATTACATCAGAAAAAGAGTGAGATATTATTAAAGTATTCGTGCACGGAATGAGGCCTTGCGCTAAGACCCCAGCAAAACTTGGAGAATTGCAGGTAAAGTTAATTGTTTATGTTTATGAACACCTTAGTCAGGCACTGTAATACCACTCATCAAGCTATGATAGCAGCTTGATGTGTGCTATATATGAATTATGCATAACACATATCGCGCATTACGTTTTATAAAGCCTGGTACAATGTCGCGATGAGCCTTATGCTGGTTCATTTTGTTTGTACCCAACACATGCGTGTTGGCCGCAGATATCTCTGGTGATCTCGAATATCGGTCAGCATCATGTAAAAAAACATTTTGTGCTAGGCCTGGGCATAACTTGCCTCTTCAGATGACGTTTACATGCATGCCAGCCAATATACGAGGAGCCTAGCACGAACGTCAGCACGAACGTTTTCGCCCTGGGACATTTCTGAAGACGACACCAGAGATTGGGCTAATTCTGGACTTGTCAACAACCTGGGCCAGAAAATTGGTCTCCCTTCGTTGCCATCCGCGAGACAATTGTGTTATCACGGTGTATTACTTAAGCGCAGTTTTATGGTGAACACTAGCATTTCTGCGAGTTATTGGACGAGACGAAGCCCTGGCTAATAACTCTGATAGATGCAAGTGCGAAACCATACAACAGTTCATTATGCAGCTGTCGTGCGAACACGGCCATTTTAAAAATTTAAAGGCGGAAGATGGCTCAGGGAACGCAGGTACTTGCAATAGGAATTGGAAAAGAGTGACAAAACAGAGCAGAGTAGGCATTGAACGACCAGTGTTGGTCTGAAATTAAATATGTTTGATTATTTGCTTATTTGAATGCCCAGTAAGGAAGGCAATACTATACGGCGGTGAAATTTCCTAAAACCTGCAAGTAACAACGTTTTTGGGGAACGCTTAAATGACTGTCAGTTCGCTATGAACGTCGACTTTCAAGTACAGTCTATTACCACTTTTGTTTGCGATAAAATACCTTAAACACACGTGGCCATCAAAACCGCGCACGTTTTTTACGCGGTCGGCTCTCCTAAATCGTTCAGCTCTACACTAATTGTCATTGCACGGTGGTCACATGCTATAGTTTCTGTGAAGTTCACAGATTTCCTGGTATTCAAGGCAAAGGTGAACGTGACAGGGTGTTAATAATTCCAGAGCGGTTGCTTAAGCGTCTTGGGCTGGCATATGCGTCAGATTATTATGCATATGCATGCTGATATCGCGGCCTCCAGAGACATGTGCTGAATGGCTAAAGGTTCAGTGACTCATTGTTCCTAACGCTCATTCAGCGTGCAATTTGAGAAACAGAGAGGCCAAGAAGGTCATACCGCGAGACCGCCGTTTTTAACACGCGCTCGGGTGGCGGGGGTCAAATACCCCCCCCCCCCTGAAGGTTTTTCCAAAATGGTTTTCGAACGTCGCGGCGAAGCTAAGCCAGATTTTTCATAGCTGTAGACAAATGAATAACAGATCGTTCGGCTTTGGAAATTTAATTTTACCTTGTAAGGTCGCTGCTCTATGGCTGGTTAAAGTCAGGCCATGGTTTCAGCGAGGGCAATTTCTAGGAAATCCTTCAATCTGATCCAACAACGGAGTGTTAGACGAATCCATAAATATCTGAGATGCTTTCTTAGGCACCACAATAGTTGAATGAGCAAATTACCTAAGGTCAGGTATAAACGTCACACCAAGGCCAAAACCAACAATGCAGTACGGAGCTCTCGCTTCTAAGAGCACATTTCCAAACAAGCCAATCTGCCGCTATCATCCAGTTTCCTGATAAGTCTCGTTGTGCCTCCCTCCGCAGGCAACTCTGGCTACGTCCCCGGTTGCCTCTGTTCCCTGAGCAGCCTGCTTTTGTTCCATCACCAACAATAGGACGACGAATGTTAAAATAAATGCTTGGCTGTTGAGAGCCCTGCTCGCGAATGATGTTGACATTCTAAATATCGTGCCCCAAGAACAATGGCGACATCTTAGCGTGATTTTAGAGCATCAATCCTCCGTATTGCAAGCTGTCGCCCAGACATTGCAATGCATTCTGTGAGAAATGAGTCGCATGCGATTTCTGACTGATATTAGGCTATTTCATAGCTCTTTGGTTCCACTCGTCTCAATTCATGCGTCAGCTTTCCGAGAATTCGGGGATATGGTGCATTGCTTGTGGCTGATCAGTCCTTTTGTGAAGCATGGAGTGTTTCAAGACGATAGGACCCGCACAATAAGAAGTTTTTCATTAGTTTTAAGTGACGCGTCGCAAGCTATCGCGTACCCATTTATGGTGCCAGCGATTGCAGAGGCCATATCAGCAATCAGGTGTCAGCGGTCATAGTAATCAATCAAATGTAGTTGTGTTCATCAAATTGTCTTGTTCTCAAAGTGGCCAGCACGTATTCTGTGCTCCACGCCGTTTCTGTGCTTGTTGAAGAGGGCCGTCCTTGTCTTTTCAGCCAGGATGGCAAGGTGGCATGCGGCCCACTGGTGCTGCGTTTTCTGCCTTCACCTGCTGGAAGTCGTCAATGGGTGGTTACCGCCGACCGTGAAGATAGGTATGCCACCGACTGTGATGAATTAGTAGCCCAGCTTTTCCTTGTGAGATGCAATGACTTGCACCAATACTGACCCAGTCCAGTTACCAAGACAGAAAACATGGCCAAACAGAATGTGTTATGCAGTGCATTTCTACCGATCTTAAAAAGTAGTTATGACATTGCGAGACCGTGGTTGCTGGAGCGAAGATTGCTGCGAATCAATCACCTGTCCATCGATGCGTGTTCATCGGCTGCATCGCTAAAGCCAGTCTACCCTCGCCGTCGGAAATTCAGGGCGCAGTGGTTATGGGCGCGAGAACTGGAGGAGCGCGGGGGGGGGGGGGGGGTTGCTAAGCCCCCAAACTCCCTTGAAGTTTAACAAGGCCCAATGTTTGTCGACTGGACAGAAATGACAAAAATGTCTTTCTCTCCATCCTATTGCGAGGACTTGCATTGCCTTTGGCCGTAGCTTAACGTGCCGTAACGGACAAGTGGGTAAGTGTGGTTTGAGGGGTCATAAGACTCACTGTACCTTGTATCCACACATTTCACATGATAATGAGGCACTTACGAATTCCCATATGACATAATAAATTCCATATAATAATTTTTTCATCACGTTTGTCTATGGCTTCCACTTACTTTTATCTAAAACGCACGCCACGACGTGTTCGAAACAGGCCGTGGAAGCCTTACAAGCTCGGTAGGGTCAGCCTGCAGGCAGCGATTGGAAAACGGCTGCCCGTCTCGGCGGTGGATGGGGACGCGGCGCACCCATACAACGCCGCGCGCCGACCGCGGCCGACGCACGTCGCAGGCGCGGGCAACTCGGGTGCGACTGCCGAGCAGCCAGCCCGGGGGCATCGCAGCAGGCCCCGGGCGTGACGGCCCGCTCGTAGTGTCAAGAGACTATAAGACTGACAACAGCAGGCCCGCCGGTCCCCCAGGCTTGACACGATCCTTGAGTGAGGCGAATACAGTGTTAGGAACCATTTCTTGCATGAGATTATTTTCACGAAATGGTTGTTCATAGCATGTGCATATTATAAACCAAGTCGGGACATGTACCGATGTCCACTGCCGCATGCTGATATGCACGGCTCACGCGACAAAAACGAGCACGAAGAGGAGCTGGAATCTTCAACACGCATGAGACGTTCGCATTTAAAACTTACCGATTACGATATGAGCATTGCACGACTTTGCCTCCATGATCATGCACAAAGGTGCAGCCAAGGGAAGCATCCTTAAGTCCGCATGTGAATTTTTAACTCACAAATGGCCCCCGACAGAATATTAACAATCAGCGCGGTGCGTTGTAACCTGTAAGCACGATCATATTTTAGACACCACTTACTTTAACAACTCCTCACTCCCCATATCTCAAGCAGACACCCACTGCTTCATACTGTGGAGATACAATGTTCATGCTCAACATCAACTCAACGTTCCCAGAAAACCTGAAAGAACAGTATTCCTAAGGCGTCGACTGGTATGTCCGAGCGACAAGAAGCGAAATATTTAGTTGTTAGCAAGTTTGCCATCGATTGCCAGCTGGTCTGATCCTTCCGGTTGAGTTGTTGGAGCCTCCCAGCGATTTATGCTGCGCTCCTCCCGTGAAGTTCCCATTGGAGGCGATGACAAATCACCACGGCTCGTCCGGGTCCCATGAGGGATTTAAGCACACCACCAGCGGCGCTTTTACCGTTTGCTCGCCTCCACAAACAGACCAGCGAAGCTGACGTTTTGTTTTTTATCGTGCCATCTATTTGACAAACGGAACTTGAAAGCCGGGGAGATGGATGTCAGGGCGTAATCCCATCCAACGGCCGCGGCTCGGAGCAATCCAGAAGAATGCCAGATAAGAATGACGCGTCTGTGAAAACAGCTACCAAAATTGGCCGGGAGTAATAGCAATGTGGAAGGCAGCTTTTGGCATTGGTGCCGAGGGTTTTCAAAAGGCTTAAGAGCCCATCATGGCTGATTATGCGGGCTATGGCTGGTCGGGACACCCAGCTACAGCCGCGGTGCTGGTGTTGATGGTGGTGTGTGTGTGGGGGGGGGGGGGGGTGCTGGCCAATGAACGCGGAGGCACTCTGGGTGTGGCTTCCGAAGTAATCACATTACTCCAACGTCAACTGTCATTATTACCGCTCAGATCAGACTGTCCTAGTAGACTCCAGACACCGACAATTACTGCCGTATCTTGTGATAGTAGCCATTCTAGCATTTTATGATATATGGGCTCCGCATATTGCCCACTTACTTAGCTTACTTGAATGACACGCATTTCATAACATTTTGACTCTAAAACCAGTTAAATTACTTGCCTTGGTATTTGATAGCATACCAGTCAATCCAGTATGGCGTAATCCCACGTTCACATGGTATTTGGATCAACACCAAATTTATAGACTTCTAAAACACTAGGTGACATCATATTCAGTTGTAAATTTCATCATAAATGGATATTTATTTCGCATCTTAATTGTGTCCTTCGTTGGTGAAAAAGAAGCGCACATTGACCAGAAACCTGCAAGTATGGGCACTGTTGTTTTCATATTTATTTTTGCTACTTTCCTTACATGCTTACATACTAATCATCCGCATTCAGTCTTGGTGAACACCACGGCCGATATCAGCCGAACCGTAGACATTCGCCTAGAGCGGTGCGCCAGACGCTCTTAATAAGGAAGGAGAGTGATCCCGTAGGCGTGGAAAGAAGGCTAGATTTAATCACGCTAAGTATAGGTCTACTTCTTTCTGGCGCGCAGGTACATAGGGTGGCATTTAATCACTATAAAAACCGCGCGCGTGACGTTATCACACCGAGCCCTTCGCGGCTCGTGTTTTTCCCCTGCAAGCGCGAACAATCGCAGTCCCTCACTCAGTGGAGTGAGGAAGTGGAGTGGAGTGAGAGATTCTGTCGCTGACGGCAGGACCGGAAGCAGCGCAAGCTTGTTCAGAAGGATCTGTTTCACGGGTGACAGACTGGCGGTCTGTCCTTGCCATCGGCCTCGGTCGCTCAGTGCTTACCGTTTGATGTTGAGAGCCAACACAGGGAGGAAGGACCGGAGCACGGGACGGCAGCACCCAATACACTGCATAGGCGCAGGTCCCCGTGGGACGGGGAACGGTTTTCACTGGGAACCGGTTTACATGGGCAGGGTTCTCCGTGCAACACGGTGGCAGACACCAAGACGGACTGTTGAAACTGTGTGGCACACTGACGTACGGAAGACGCTGAGCAGACCGACCACTGAGACAGCGCAACATTGACGCACTATGGGAGGCGGATTACTGTGACCTGTGTGGCACCGACACGCGCATGGGAACACTGGGTGATGCCGAGGGACACAGCAGCACGCGAGGAAGAACTACTGGATCGTACGATGCGCCGACACACACGCAGGGAAGCATCCGGATTGGGCCACACACGCAGTGGGGGGGGGGGGGGGGGGGGAGGAGGAGGATCGGGGAGGGCGAGGCAGAGACCACAAGGATGTCGTTTTTGGACAAAAAAACGAACCAAACGCAAAGCAAAAACAGACGACAACGTGGGCTAAAACGTTGCAACTTGCTTTATTTTCGTTTTTCGGTGAAATGCCATTTTCCCCATTTTTTTACAACCAGCAATTGTTCAGCAGATCAGTGGCTGAAGAGTATACAACTTTTGTCCATTTCCTCGCAATGACTTACCTTGTGCTTCGGGGGGAGGGGGAGCGAGGCTCTTTTGCACACTCGCACCTTAAAACCCGTCCTGCGGCTATATGCCCTGTTATCCCACCGGGCAGCGGGAGGATTCCATGGTTGTCATTGGGACTTTAGGGGCCTCTCAGGGCCTCTTAAGGTGAGGCCTGCACCTCACCACTCCTCGACCACCGACCACAGGGGCGGGCCGCCGCGCGCGCCGCGCGCCATTCGACGGTCGGACATTTCACTGGTGACGCGCCCATTTCCATAAAAACAGACTGCGCTCGCTCGCCGCCGCCTGGCCGAACAAATCCGGCCGCCGAGCGACGCCGGCCCGGGGGAGCGGCCGGCCCAAACAATGCAGCTGCCAGCGCGGCTTTGGCGCAGCAGAAATCAGCGCACAAATCAAACCGGGCGCGGCGGAGCGGCCAGCACCGGAAAGGCTTCTCGGCTCGGAGCGCCGGCGGCGCGGGGCGGTCGCGCGGCATCGAGTGGCACCTCGCGGCCACTTGATACGGCGACCACTCGGGAAACTGGAGACTGGCAGCTGACGTCGAGATTGGCCAGATGGCGTTTTTGTTACATCTGTAAGACTGATCTCCCGGCGGGAAGTGCGGGGGTCTTTGGGAGTGCATTCAGGCACCGGCACTTTTTGGTTAGTTCTATTTATCGACTTTGTCCATCATTAATGGTTAGAAAGGCATCCGAAATTATCATTTATCAATTTATTGGCATCAAGTCACCGCGTATTATCATACCAATGCCTATTAAATAGCTATATGAGGTATTAAAAACGGTGTAACAAAACCCTGAGTTTATACTGCAGTTGAGTAACCACCACTACCAGTGGGAGCGCACTGTTTCATGTCAATCGTTCTCAAACAGTAAATATTTGTACCAGCTCTATCCGTTTAACGCTGCGTCGGAGCCTGTTAGCTCTTTCTTGACCGATAACCGCCATGAGGAAGCTAAGGCAAGTTCGGTGTCGGAGATAACCAAACTTTCAGGTGAGGACAGTACCGATACGGTATCTGGACCACCTGGCAGCCGGCATGGCTCTGTTGGATCATTGTTTTGTCACCAGGATGCCCATTCCGGTAATGCAGGGCGAAGGGCTCCGAAACGAAACATTTATGGAACGCTGCGGAGCAATTTCGCGATTCCGTAAATCTGATTTGCAACAGCTGTATAATTTATTATGCTTAATACCCGAGGAAGACGCTCAGCCCCAGTAACTGGGGCCAATAAATCGGGCCTAACGAACCCCCACCCACCCCATAACGAGACTCCTGCTTCTCCCCAAATCTGCAAATTGAATGTGAGGT